AAGATATGATGAATTATAGTCTTCTGATCTCGGATTCAGACTAAGAGAGAAATTGTTTGAAGAGATGTTTTACAATGATATCTCATTTTTTAATGACCATCACACTTAGGTCTGTCACAGAGCACATTATAAGTTATAGAAATAGATCTTATATATTCCGAGATCGAATATGAACAATAGTCAACGGTCGTCTATGAAAAAACACGAAGATATACAACTATACGATAATGAACAATTTAATAAATAACGTTCTACTTTTATCTATTTTGCATTATTGCGCTTTTTTCAGGTTGCCGTCGTAGATCATGAATGTTACTAAGTATTTTTATTTGTTTTACTTCATTTATAGAAGGTCATCAAAATCGATTGAATTAATAAATAGGATGTATCTCTATCTTATTATAATATTTTATGTTTTCAATTTTAAATTGTTATAACTCATTTGTTTTGAAAAGCAGATATACTGACAAAGAGTGAAGGGGTAGACAAAACATAATAAAAGTAATCATATTTATTCCATATTAACTAGAGATAGTTCAGTTAGTATAGTAATACAAGTAGATATTCGTAATATCAAGATCGATCTACACCCTGAAGAATTAATCGAACTCAAAATAAGATTGATTTTGTTCGAGATGATTTAAATGAATCTAAAATACTAAACTTAGCTGTTTAGATCACAACCATGAGAGTGAATATTGAATTAACTGGCTGAATTGTAGTTTAAATGATTATTCAGATTCTGATAAAATTTATATAATTCGTAGAGTTCATCGAGTTAACTATTTTCTGTTATGATCTAGATGCTTAAGATAAACTCATCCAATACATTGTTTTAACTTTTATTTGATTTAACATAAGTAATGAAATTCAAAAGTAATTACTAATATATTTATTATAATTAAAAATTTTGTCTTCTGTTTCTCGCAATAGACGGTGTGGGTAAAGAAAAAGTGAACCACACCCTCAATTCTTAGTACAACATGAATTTCATGAGAATATTTTATCAACAAATCATTCGACACTTAGATCTTCGATTAGCAATTTTCAGGTAAAGAAGAAAACAAATAAATATTCACTATTCTTTATCTATCTATCTGTTTTTTTACGTTTATTAAATATTACTAAAAAATAAATATTTGTAAATAATAAATATATATTCATAAGTAGACATTTAGAATTCATTACAAGCATGTAACCATTTTTAAATTCAAGAAATCTTCTTGTTTTCAATACAGTCTCAATTGCATTCATGAACAGAAGAATAAAATAGCATTCTAAATGATGAAAATGAATATATTTCAAATAAATTAATTAGAATGGACATTTTAATCAAGTAAATGTTATAATTTGAAATTTAGATTGATAAAAAGTCTAATACTTGACTAGAATTCGATAAAAATATGGTTTTACTCTAAAATAAATATCTATGAGATTAAATGTAATATTATTCTATTTCACATCGTTTTTATATGAAATTAATCTTATCAAAAATTAACGTTGAAGTACTGTCTAAATTTGAAGAGGGATATTTAATATTAAAATCTATTCTACACACATAAATTTTATTGATCTTAGTTTTCTTTTTTTT